GTTTGGGTATCCTCCTCATTTCACTCCTTCCTCTGCTGCCCTGGGGAACAGAAGAGCAGAATTTTCAAAAGTGCCCAGTCCCCCCTATTGGGGCCAGATTTTCCAAAGTGCTCAGTACACTGGAGAATGAGCCTTTCTTCAAAATCTGGCCCCAATTGCTGGTGCTGAGCCCTTGAAAATCTGGCCCAGGAGCTCATTTGAAAATTTAGCCCTTTGGAGCAAAGCAATGCCTTTTATTTAGCAGGATTTGTATGAGTGGCTGTCATGTTCTTAGTATCTATTTGCTGTAAGAATTTGTCAGTAAGGGAAGATAGCTTTTAAACTTAGACTAAATACAATATTTTAATGGTTGACATAATGATAACATTTTAAGCCTATCTTCTAGTTGAAAAGTTTTGAGAGTTTTCCTGGGGAAAATCAGATGATTCAGGGAGGGTGATTGGGGTTAAAATTCTCAGCAAACATTTCTGAGTTTACTTAACAACTTGGGGAAGGAGTTTAAAATGCCATACATAGCACACACATTCTTTTTTAAAACTGTATATAGGAATTACACTATATAAAATAGTCTCTCTTTTTCAGGAAGTTGTTTAAAATAAAAAAAGTAATTGCACATGTCCATTAAATTACTGTTTATATAACTAAAAATTTGTTCTCCTCCTAGTTTAGTTTATTGTGATTAGAACAATCTCTTCTCACTGAATCCATCAGTATGATTTCTGCACACAGAATTAAGTGCTCAGAAAATGCTTAGAAAATTTAAAGGGACACAGTCAACTTAAAAATGGCCCTTTCTGATTTTTTTTTACCTGCTATTGTTACAAGTAACATCTCTGCTTACTGTAGCTGAAAATTTTGAAAAAAATCCTGTCTTTTTCCATGTTACTTCTGTGAATAGGGGGTCTGGAACAATTTGTATAGTGCGGGTGCTGAGAGTCATTGAACCAAACTATAAACCCTGTATGTGATGGAAACTGTTTCAAGCCAGTGGGTGTGGCAGCATCCCCAGAATCCCTAGTTCCAGCACCTATGTCTGTGAACCTTCACACAGTTTTTAAATAGGAAAGTGTGTAGAACCAGGTATTGGCAGGAGGACTCAGACAGATGTAGTGCACGAAATTCTGTAACTGTTTAGATTGACTAGATTTCAGGTTAGTGTTGTCCCTTTAAACATGTGTAATGTGACTATTCTCCTTATGTTTTCCACACTTTGCAATGAGTCAGATGTGACAAGCAAATTTGTTTGCTGTTTAAGAGCAATCACTGTGTTGCCTGTACAGCAGGGGTTCTCAACCTTTTTCTTTCTGAGGCCCCGCCCAACATGCTATAAAAGCTCCATGGTCCAGCTGGGCCACAACAATGGTTTTTCTGCATATAAAAGCCAGGGCTGGTGTTAGGAGGTAGTAAGGGTAATTGCTTGGGGCCCCACACCATAGGGGGCACTGTGAAGCTAAGTTGATCAGGTTTTGGCATCAGTCCTGGGTGGTGGGGCTTGAGGCCCGGGCTGCAGTCCTGCATGGATGGACTTCAGCTTTCTGCCCTGGGCCCTAGTGAGTCTAATGCCAGCCATTCTTGTCGTCGCCCCCTGGAGGTCCAGTAGTACAGGATACTCCTATATTGGGGATAGTAAATCAAAACATAGGTATCTGGTGAAGATTTCAATTAACTTGGTTAAGAGGTTTCAGAGTAGCAGCCGTGTTAGTCTGTATCCGCAAAAAGAAGAACAGGAGTACTTGTGGCACCTTAGAGACTAACAAATTTATTAGAGCATAATCCGAAGAAGTGGGCTGTAGTCCACGAAAGCTTATGCTCTAATAAATTTGTTAGTCTCTAAGGTGCCACAAGTACTCCTGTTCTTCTTTTTTTTGGTTAAGAGGAGCATTCAGCATTTAGTTTGTTAGAAAACCTATCAAGAATTTTTTATCAGTGTTCTGACTGGTCCTCTTACCCTAGTCATATGCATTTTTTGTATATTTATATTGTTGCTGACGTGCTAAGTGTACTGTATAGCTGGAGAGACAGTTCCTGTCCCAAGGAACTTAGTTTAAAAGACTAAGATCAGACAGTGCACTGGGAGATCCTGACCAGAGCATAGTGATAATTTAGAACCTTTTTGCTTTGTTTATGAACTGAAGTGGTAATGATATTGTTGAGCAACTTCTAAGTTTATTTTTGTTTAATGATAATGGAGGTTCTGGAAATCTTAGTATGTTGGTGCCATGTTCTGTGGGTAAGATAAGAGACTTGTTTAATATTTTTGTAGATTCTTCCTCCCTGATACTGTTTTGGCTGTAATGTGCAGAATCTGACAGGATTAACACTGCAAAATAGAGATTCATATTATATAGCAGAAGCTGCAGATGGACATTATATAACAGACTATACAAGGCTGCTAGAGATGTTAAGCATTATCTAAACATTGAAACAGGAGGTCTCATAACCCTGAATCCACATCTCTCTCTACTTTATAGCCCACCTCCTATCTTGACAGAGCAACAGAGCCTAGATGGAAAGCGTTTGTACTAAATTTACTTGTTCTTCATCCCTGGATCACATCTTTGTATCCTATTTTACTACTGTAGTGTTAGCAGAAAATCAAAGTGTACTTACATGACTGTTAATTTTTTCTCCTCTTCCAGCTT